AGAAAGCGAGACCGTGAAGGTAGACACACACCGCGAGAACCGGCGAGCAATTTACGTTGCCGGCGCGCGGCCATACGCGGACTCGGTTAACGACCCGGCCCAGGTCTACGTACCCGTTCCGCGGGACGATTAAGTTTCGTTTTTCTGTTCGCTCCACCTCCTCCGACAGCCACGCATGCGTGCGTGCGTGTGATTTTTCGTTTTTCCCCGCGGCACCGCAAGGAATCGGCGAAGCCACTTTCACCGGGCCGATTCGGGGGGAGACGTTCGGTTAGATCGGATCGTCGAGCGCTAACGACGTCCCAATTACCAGGGTACCTTGGACCGGGCTCCGAAGATGCGAGATTCCCGGATCCCCTAATTAACCCATTCAGCTCTGCTGCGTTTCGTGCGTTGCGTGGAACGTCTGCCCGCCTCTGTCACTCCGTTACGGCTGGATCTCGTGTTTCCACCGTGTTCGAAAGGAATTTCGAAGAGTCTTCGACTCGATAACGGAATTCATTAGCTTCTAATAATCGAACCACTTTGGAATATGTAAACCTTAGTGTCGTGCAAACAACTGACGCGATCTTGACAATTGGAGACTGATTAAATACGCTTTATTCAGACGTTTAACATTAACCTCTTAGGCACGACGCGCTATAGTGGCTCCGTCGCTACCAATATATCATAGATCGTATCCAATTGTATTACTAATTATTAAAGTTAAATTACGTGTATCATATCTTTCAGAAAAATAATTTAATCATCAAAAACTTAATTCCAATGTACTCGCGTAGAGAACAGCATTGTCCGTACAGAACTCTGCCGTACAGAGAAACAGCGCCGCGCAAAATTCAGCCTAAGAGGTTAAATCGGTTTACTGGAGGAATCTTTACCTCCACGTTCCCAGCGACGTGTCCAGACATTTATGCACGGTAGTGTGCCCTGACCGTCATGACCGTGTCATCCTGACCGCGTCCGTTTCCCAGGACGGTTAATTACGCGGAGGATTCCAAGGAAACCCTTCGGAACGGCGGCGTATCACGCACCGTCGGATGTGGGTCACACATCGGTAGCCGCGTTGAAAGGTTGCGTCTAATCCCCGCGGCGCGGCACGGCGCGGCACGGCAGATAGGAGATCGGTGGTATCCAGCCGGGGCTGGTCCCGCGCGAAATAATTTTCCTCGTTGCTCGTGGGCCCCGGCGAGATCTCGTGGCCGGGGCGTCGTTAAGAATCGATTCTAATCTAGACGTAAATGCTCCCATTAGTCGGTAGGCTTAATTGTATGTTCGCTGGCCTACTTCGGGGGGATACTCTCTCGCGGCCGCGCGCCTGCGACGGCCGCTGGCGAGAGGAGGAGAGGAGGACGGCGAATCAATCACCCGTAGTCGCCGCCGCCGCCGCAGCCGCGAGCCAGCCAGGTGATTTGTGGGACTCGTGTGTCGTTCTATTCGCTGCTAGTTAACATTCGACCCTTAATTCGATCGCGGGATTGGCTGATGGGTCAATAAACGTCGGCCGGGTGTATTTCTTCGCGGCTACGATGATACGAATACTCGTCTCGTAAATTTCCCGCCGGATTTTTACGGCCGTCCGCCGGTTTTTAACGCCTCCAGCGCTGTCCGGGATCAGCTGTCGCGATGAATGACCGCCGCGATACCGATCGCTGTCACACTGACCGCTAAATGTCAGACAGCCGATGAGATACGCTTCGCAAAGCGATCGGACGACGGGCTGCTGCTGCAGGCTGTGATGTTTGTTTTCGTTCCGGGGAAGCTTCAGTTCTCTCTGTGAACGACTGTTTTTAGATTGGATATTGAATAGTTGAATAGAGGTATTCGGAGTTTCGAGAGCGTTGACGCCGATGATACCTCTATTAACCCTTTGCACTCGAGAGGTGAAGTCACCACTTGATTTGATGCAGTGGAACTAAAATTTGATATTTAATATAGAACTACGTATAATCGGTGTGTGAAATATTGGGATAAAAAGGCTTTGTTTCTCAATTCACTTGTGATTTCTCTTTGAGTTCCTTTAAAAACATCGTCTTTGTCTAGTTAGAAAATGTATCTAGCGAAATACTTCCGAGTGCAAAGGGTTAACCCCTTGCCGTACAACGATGAGTGAGACTTATGATGAAGATTTCTAGACTGATTTAAAAGTCAATGTTCATTATCCACGAATTTGCTATAACCATCAAACAAAATTTCCACTGAAAGTAGAATAGACAATCTTGTATTCCAAATTGCTAGTAAAACATTACACGAGCTTATCAGTACGCCAAGGGGTTAATCAACCTCTCGAAAAAGCTCCGCACTAAAAGAAATCCCTCGAAACCCCGTTAAACCAGCCCCACTCCCGCGAAAGCTAAGCAAACCATAAACTCCGAGCTGTAAACCCATGAAAGACCTCTGTGTCGCTGACCGCAGGTTACAAAATCACCCCGAAGCCCTGCCGAGTGCCAGGCCCGGAGACCAAGGAGGGCACGTGCATGTTCGTGTGGGAGTGTATCAAGTCGGAGGGCACGCACGTGGGCGTCTGCGTGGATACGTTCATGTTCGGCAGCTGCTGTGTTCACAACTCGACGACGAACTCGATCACCGCGCCCCAGAAACAACACCACCAGCAGCAGAACCACCATCATCAGCAGCACGCGTCGTCATCCGATCCTCTAAGGCCGACGCTGGCGGAGGCGTTGGGCAACGAGGCGACCAGGCCGACTCTGACCTCGCTGTCGAGCTTCCTGGTCACGGACTCGACCACGTCCAGGCCGAGTCATCATCACTTCGACACGTTCGACTCGTCGGGTGGATCCGGCAGACCGCACAAACCTCTGTCGGCCGGCTCGGGCAGGCCGCTGCAGAAAAGGCCGCACGCGAAGCCGACCTCGGACCACAAGGACAGGATCCAGACCTCGGCGGTGCCGAGCTCGTCGAACTTCTGGGAGAAGGGCTCGCAGAGCACGAGGAGGCCGGGGTCCACTGATCTCTGGGAGAAAGTGGCCCAGAGCACGAAGAGACCGGACCACTGGGAGAAAGGTCCGCAGAGTACCAGGAGACCAGTGTCCACTGTCCACTGGGACAAGGATGCTCAAAGCACCAAGAGACCGGGCTCAGACCTCTGGGAGAAGAGTCCGCAGACTACGAGGAGACCGGTGTCCACCGGTTTCTGGGAGAAGGAGGCTCTGAGCACCAAGAGACCCGCGTCCGAGGCCTGGGAGAAGGGTTCTCAGAACACCAAGAGACCCGCAGGCGATCTCTGGGAGAAAGGATCGCAGAGCACGAAGAGACCCGGTTCGTCTTCCTCTTCGTCCTCGCAGACCACTAAGAGACCCGGGTCCATTGATCTGTGGGAGAAAGGATCGCTCAGTACCAAGAGACCTAGCTCTTCTTCTTCTTCTTTCTCGTCTTCTTTTTATTCCTCTTCTTCGTCCGCGCACACCACTAGGAGACCGACTACCACTAGTTTCTGGGAGGACGCTCAAAACACGAAGAGACCCGGCCACGAGGTTCAGAGTCCTCAACAGAAGACCAGGCCGGACGACAGCCAGCACACGGCTGTCAAGGAGAAAGAGACTACTCATGATGGGTTCCAGGGTCATCATCAAGGGTTCAAGGATAAGGTGGACACCGGGCATAATACGCTGACTATAAGGCTGCCCGGTAAGGAGCATGCGTCGAACGACGACGAAGGTATTAGGCCGAACAGGCCCAGCAACCAAAGACCGTTCGAGACGAGGCCCGACGAGGGGAAGACTGAGGATGCTGATCTGAGCGTGCAGGAGTCGGTGCATCGACCTAGCGTTAATTCGGTTGAGGAAAACGTAAGGGACTTCGTCTTTGTCGTTTGACAGCGCGTTTTTATGCTTTAACCCTTTGCGGACGGATGTCGGCATTTTGATGAGAGCAAACTTCCATGGTTGGAATGCCAAGTTGCAAATGAATGATTTAACTATTCGAACAGCAAGAAATCAGTAGTTTCCTTATTCTGTATGATTTAAGTATCCAGCGTTTAATTTAGCAATCTTCGTCCGCAAAGGGTTAATTACTCAGGAAGATCTTCGAGAAAATTCGATTTCTATAGATTCGAAGGATAAAAGTTTGTTTCAGTTTTTCATCGTTTTTGCCTTATCTTTTTGACTAGAAAAAGGAGTTTTTGATTTTTCAAGTTTTGTAATCTACCAGCAACTGCAACTAATTTTTATAGTATCTCTAGTGAAAATGAAAAATGCTATAACGTTCCTTCAATCTTTTATTCTCCTCGGTACAAAATTTGGATGTATGGAAAATCGAGTAATTTTAAGGTAGTTTCTTTAAGATTCATTAAAATGTTTAATTTTATAACCGGTGCAATATTGGAGCCTACAGAGTTCAAAGAGTTAACACTTGACGCCATTGACTGGTAGATATAAGTGATAAATAAATTCAACGGTTCTTCGTTCTTGTCACGTTAGGAAACCGTCAAGGAACCTCACTCGAACCTGAACTTCATCCACACGGAGCGTCCGCAGTGGGCGACCAAGCCAGTGTCGCCGAAACCGACGACAGACTTCTCGAAACCATATTTCTCGATCAAGACGACAACGTACAGGCCGACGTCGGTGAACGATTCTAGGCCGAATTTCGTCTCGAAGCCCTTAAACAACTCGAAGACGTCCACCACTCCTAGACCGACCCATTTCGGTGGAGAATCTACCACCAGGTATTCGACTATGTCCTTACGTTCAATTTAAAATGTGTAAAGAAGGCGCCTGCACACTCGATTTTGATGATAAAGCTTGCAAGCACTCTATACCTTTTAATTTTAGAGTGATGTCATTATTTTCTTTCTTCTATGGAAAATATGATTCTAGATTGGACACGCGAAACAAATTTGAATATTTTGATATCAATTTTCGTAGCATTATAAGCATGCTACACCTAATTTTATAGTAATGTCATTATTTTCTTTCTTCTATGGAAAATGATTCTAGATTGGACACGTGAAAGAAATCTGAATATTTCGAGATTAATTTTTAGAATGAAGGTTACAAGCATGCTATACCTTCTAGTTTTATAGTAATTATAGTTCTATATTTATTTTCTTTAGTATAAAACTGGGAAAACTATACAAACTATAGTTTTATAGTTATTTCCTTTCTTCAATGGAAGATATGATTCCAAATTGGACACGTGAGAGAAATTTGAATATCTTGAGATCACGTTCTCTTCGTGTCTTTTGCGAAATGCTCCTTTAAATCAATTTCTGTGGTTGCCAGACAACTGATGGATCCGACGTTCCTGAAAAGAGGGACTTCCGGGCGACAGCTTCAATCTTTTCTTTCATTCTAGCGCAGCCGGATCCGTGCCACAGACCTCTCACTGGCAAGTGACCACAGAGCCGGCGTTCATCACCAAACAGAGGCCGTCATCGTCCACGAAGCCGGCGGGCTCCCTAGAAACCGCTAAACCTATGCCGGTCAGCTCCCATTTCTGGTCGGAGAACAGCTGGACGCCACCCAGACCGTCCTTGAAACCGCATTGGACGGACAACCCTAGTCTCCTTCAGAACGGCCCTGAGGGATTCCCTCCGCGTCCCAGTTTCAAGCCCACGGAACCGCAAGAAGTATGTCCGATCGATGAATCGTATCATTGGCGAACGATAAGCGCGTTGATTAATGACAGTCACTGAAACCGGAGCTAGAGCTTATCGTAGAATCTTGATTCCGACTATCTATTCTACTAACAGTACAACCACTTCGCTAAAAATATCGAATTTCCTTAGACATATCTCTATAAAGTTCAATATTCATCTGAATCTTTCGAACCATCTATTTTAAATCTAACATCGTCAAATAGGACATTTGAAAATATTAATATAGAACTTATCGTGGAATCTTGATTCCGAGTATCTATTCTACTAACAGTACAACCACTTCGCTAAAAATATCAAATTTCCTGTGACACATCTCTATAAAGTTCAATATTCATCTGAATCTTTCGAACCATCTATTTTAAATCTAACATCGTCAAATAGAACAATTAAAAATATTAACCCTTTGCACTCGAATGGCGCCTTACAGTCGCCACCTGATTCGACGCAGCAAACTGATAAAATTTTCAATTCAGTATTAAACCTAGTGCAATGTATGAACACATAAAATATCGAAGTAAAATAGTTCTGTCTCTTAATTTATAGAAGATAATCAATTGTCTTGGTTGCGAGAAATATCGTTAATATTTAGCCAGAAAGTAACGAATAATTTTAATGAAAAACATTGTCGAGTGCAAAGGGTTAACCGATCAGATTCAAGCGACGGTAAAGACTATTTCCAGAAATTCTCTCAGCCTTGAGTTACCACCGGAACACTCGTGTTCCCGGTAACGAAATCTCCGAAATCATTCCTCGCATCGCGAACGGAACGGCAAGAAATCATTTCCCGCGGGTTTCAATGCTCCAAGTATTTTCCGACACGTTCCCCCGGCGCCTTGTCGTGAATATTCGTAACTGTAAAACGTTAACAACGCCGACATCCGCATTATTCGAATAACACACGGTCTCCTGGCTCCGCTATAATTCACGCGGCTCCGGGGAATATTCGAATTTCAATTCGAATGCCCGGCTGAACGTTCGATCCGGAACACCGTGGAATCCGTAATCCCGCTCCCGCTCGCCGGCTCGCAACGCGCGGCTGCCCATCCCCAGCAAAAAACCCATCATCCGCCGATCTAAAGCGTTTCGCAAAGTATCTAATCGAAGAATCGATTCTACGCGCGCGCGCGCGAGGGAGAGAGTGGGGAAACAACTCTATCGCGTTACATCCGCGATCGTCCGATCGTCCGTCCGGGACGTTTATTAGGTATCCGATCGGTATGTAAAAGAAACGGCCCGGTCGAAGGCGATGCTTACGCCGGCCGGCCGATGCTTAGAGCTAGCGTAGAGTACACGTTCACGGTTCAGCGTTTTTGCCGTGGTTGCCGTGCATCTGCGACAAAGAACCCGGGGCCCGATAAGGCCCTGCTGCTGTTGCTGCTGCTGCTGCTGCTCGATTACACAGTCCATTGAGCGCGCAGAACTATTACAAAGTAGGGGGAACAAGACCGAGCGATTTCGAGAATTAATACAAAACCGCCGATCGGCCGGGCACGGTCGCTCGGTAGCAACGGTAGCCGCGATAACAGCTCCGTTCGAAGCGTTCCCGAGCGTTCTAACGCCGTTTCACCGTTTCCCCGCAGAGCACCGAGTTCCACAAACCGCTCGGCTCGGCCCACTACATAACCACGTCCCACTTCGAGACGTCCGCGAGGCCGAGAC